AACGGCCACAGAAAGTGGGGAGCAGCCGCATGAGTCAGGGAGGTACGAGCGACCTCCATGACCAAGCCAATGCGGCGCTCAGCGACCCCATTCTGCTGTGGAGAGGCCGGAAGCGTGTACGACTGCTCAATGCCGTGCTCAGCACAGTAGGCTGCCAAGAGGTCGGAGGCAAACTCACCACCTCTGTCAGAGTGCAAGCGCAGGACAGGAAAGTCCGAGTGAAAGCGCTCGCCTAGCTGGAGACGGGCTCGGCTGATCCAGGGGATCAAAACACCAGGGACGTCACCCTTGGCGCGCAAGGGGAAGACCGTGGTGTAGCGCGAGTAGTCGTCAACAACTATCAGGAAGTACCTCTCCTGACCCTGACCACGGACGCGGGCTGGGCCCCACACGTCCATGTGGAGCGTCTGCAGGGGAGCGGTCGTCGGGGGAAAGGAGGAGGAGTGAGGAGCGGCGCGCTGCCGCCCCTCGACACAGGGAATGCAGTCAGGAGCAGGGGAGTCAGGAAGGGGAGGGAGCACCCTGGGAAGACCAGCAACAAGGTCCCGTTTGTGCATGGCCCGCAGGCGCTGCACAGACGGGTGACCAAGGCGGTGGTGCCAGAGGACGGTGTCGTTCGCCAGAGAGCGACACGAGCAGGGGGCGGACAGCTGACCTGACGCTGACGCAGACGCAGCTACCTGAGGGGACTCAGTGGTCAGTGTGTACAGGTCAGACCCCGGCTCTCGAGTGAAAGTAGCTAGGTGGCGGCCCGTCCGAGCACACGTGCAGTGAGTCACACGCTCGTAGGCAGGGGTGAACTGGTGAACACCCCCGTCCTGGAGCGCACTACCTGCCACCAAGTTCGTGGAGAACGAGGGGAGGTAGAGACCTGAGAGCGTGCCGGACGGAACCGCTGGACACGGAAGGGTGGTGGAGGAGGTCGCAAGGACCGGACCCCCAGAGGGGTCAGCAAGAGAGACAGCAACCGGCCGAGCTAGAGGCTCAAGGACAGTGCGGTCACGAAAGAAAGAGCGAGAAGCACCTGAGTCCAGTGTGAAGGTGTGCAGTGCTGCAGTCGACTCAGTACCAGGGGGCACAGACGCACAAGCACCTAGAGCAGCAGCTGCAGTAGTACCTGTGGAAGCAGACACACTAGCACCTAGAGCAGCAGCGGGGCTGGCCTGAATGCCCGGGTCGGGCGGAACACGCAAGTACTGAGCACCCTCTCCACTAATAGACATCGCATACATGGCAGTGAGAATAGCATCAAAGTCTAGTGCCCAAATATCAACACCCTTCCTGAGCAGCTCAGCCCAGCGCGGCAGCTCACCACCACCAGGAAACTGGGTGCGCCACGCATCGTTGAGGCGGGCGAAGCAGCGCTCCGTCTGGTGCGGCCCCCCACACGTCTGGCCAGTGCGGTCACCTGTACGAATAACGTACTGACAGGTGACGCTGCGCCGCGCATACCACTCACGGGCGGCCTGAAGGGTCGGGGCAGGCTGCTGACTCTGACCGCCCCCCGGGCCTCCACGACCACCACCCCCTCCGCCTCTGCCCCGGCCACCTCCACCCCTGCCGCTGCCACGACCACCTCCGCCTCCGCTGCCACCTCCGCCCCTGTCACCACTCCCAATGCCGCTGTCACCTCCACCACTGCCGCCACTAGTCTCTCCAGTCGCACCTCCACCGCCACCACCTCCACCCCCGCCTCCTCCGCCACCACCCCCCGCTCTGGATCACTCTCTACCACGTTATTTCTGACATGGTTTCAGAGCAGGTCCTTCGCTAGGACTGTTCTTAGGGCCCACCGACTTACCTACCTGCTTACCTTCGCTTGTTTCCGGCCCCGATGGCCCCGTCGATCTAGCACGATCTAGCGGCCCTGCGGCCCCTTCGAAATTTTTTTTTTTCCTAGCGGCCTCTCACGGCCCCCCGTCGCGTCGCCCCTTAGCGCCCCGATCGGCCCCGTCACGCCGCCCGCGAACCGCACAGCGCGCCGCGCTCACAGCCCGCGAACCGTCCGCGCACAGCCCGCGAATTGCCCGCGAGCAGCCCGCGACCTGCCCGCGAACCCCTGCGAGCCGCCCGCGACCCGCTTACGCAGCCCGCGAGCAGCCCGCGCAGCCCGCGCTGAGCCTGCGCGGCTCTTGCGCTGACCGCCGCCGGCCCGCACGCTGCCCGCGCAGCTCACATACGGCCCGCACGGCCCGCGCGCTGCCTGCTCCCGGCCCGCCACTGCTGAGCCCGCAGCCGCCCGCGCACCGCTGCTGCTGAGCCCGCCGCCGCCCGCGTATCACCGCTGCTGAGCCCGCCCCTGCTGCGCCGGCTCTCGCTGCCGCCTGCTGCGCCTGTGCACCACTGCAGATCCTACTACTACACTTCCTGCTACTGCTGCTTGTGCGCCACTACAGTCCGTAGGCCCCACCGGCCCCGCTGACCCTGCGCACGCCTTTTCAGTGACTTTACTGCTTCTACTACTGCCGCTGTCGCTATGGCTAGTCCTCCTGTTCTAGCTTTCGACGCCGAGGGCCGTCCGGTCAAATTCGAAACGTGGCTAGATGACCTGCACCTTTTCCTACAGCTCACTGCCAAGGAAGATATTACACTGTACGACCACGCTCTCGGCCATGCGACCGCCCCACTCGCTACTGCCCCCCCAGCTGAGCGCTCACAGTGGCAGACCCGTGACGCGCACGCTCGCTTTGCTATTCGCAACTCCCTGCCGCTAGATGAGCGCGAGCACTTCGGCCAGTGCAAGACTGCTAAGGACCTCTACACGGCTGTAGTGGCCCGCTACTCCTCACCTGCTTCTGCCACGCTAGGCCGCCTCACTCTCCCCTACCTGTTCCCCGACCTAGCCTCCTTTCACACTGTCGCAGACCTCATCACCCACCTTAAGACTAGTGAGGCTCGCTTTCGCGCTGCCATGCCTGACGAGTTCCTCGCTAGCAACCCCCCCTCGCTCTGATACCATGTCAGAAATAACTGAGCAGGAATGAATGAACTAGAACAGAGTTTGGTACAAGTAGGAAACCCTAACTTTGTGTACCCCCTAAGGTGTAACCCACTACAGCCTAGACAATATAAACATGCAATGTTTGACACTCCTTTGTGTGCGAGCGGTCGCTTAACCCAACCGCACTGGAGGCTATCTTCCGCGGTGTTTCGACGACCGTGGAAATCGCAATGCTGACAGACAGGCTCTCGACTTACCAGTTGCAGAAGAGTCAGCGGCCGGCTTTTCTCCGCTGCTCTGCTTTCCACCACGTTCTCCACCCGGTGACAGGCACTGATACTGACGTTGTCAAAGGTCTCGTGTACCCGCACCCTGGCGACAATGGCCGCTGGATCCACGCAGTGCTTGATCCGGCCGATCGCTCGATGAAGCTGCTAATCCACTATCCTTCATTATCCTGCACACGCTGCGGGGGAGAGCATTATGATAAGTATCATAATCTGTTCACAGTAGAGCGTCAGAATAATGTAGGAAAGTGGAATATGATGCTAGGGAAAGCTCACAGGCTTAACGGTAACAATGTTTCAGTATAACCTTTCCCAGTTGACCGCTTTCCTCGTATCTTACCTCTTGTTGACGATCTGGTTGACTCCTGCAGCTGCGTCCCTGAAAGCCACAACGCTCCTCCTCCCTATCCTCCGAGACCCTGCGCTGGCACTAATTTCCACGGGAAGCAACAGGGAGGAGTGGTTATGCACCCAGGCCGGGTGCAAGAAGGCTCACGGCAAGTGCTTCATCTCAGCAGCAGATCATGTAGCATCTGCGGCTCATCTCATCTGCCAAGAGAAGCTCGGTACCGCAACCAAATCCTCCCTCGAGAAGACGAACCTTGCTGGCATCAAGAAAGACTTTGGGATCTGAACAGTAGGATGGAGGCAGCGGGTAGAGTCTGTGCTGTAGTCAATGTAGTCAGTTTCATTGCCTTTATCAGCCTGTGGATGCGAAGGGGCTGCCAGTCAGTGGATAAATGAGTAACAAGAAAAACCTCCTTACCTGCGCTTGCCTTAACGTCAACGACCTGGGTGACATGGGGAAACAAGGGAAACTCATCCGCTGTCTTAAGGACGTGGGAGACATAATAGCTCTAGCAAACACTAGGATACCACCCTCACACACCTTTTGGTCATCGCCAAGCTTCACCACTATCGCTGTAGCTCCCCGTAAGGCGAAGGCTGGCGGAGTTGCTGTCCTCTGCAAGAATCCATCTCTTACCTTCACGGACATTAGAATCCACTCCTCAGGTAGAATCATACAAGTGTCAGTTACAGGTCTAGGAATCCAACTCACAGTGCTCGCGGTTTACTTCCCGTCAAGCCCCACAGCCAGAACACCCTTCATACTCAACACCCTCGGTCCGATAGTAGATTAAATACCACAGTCCTCCCACTTACTCATTGTAGGTGATCTTAACATCATAGAAGACCCGTCCCTAGATAAAACATCAAATAAAGGTTCAACAGCCGAGAATGACCGTCTCTACAGTCGTTGCAGTTCCTTCCAGCTCTTAGACGCCTTCCGCACTCTGTACCCAAATAGTAGGGAATACACCTTTTACGCAGCAGCGGCTGGTGCCAGCTCGAGGATAGATCGAACGTTAGTCTCGATGTCGCTGCTGCCGTTCCTGTTTGACGCTATGCACATCTCGCCGAAGGAGCCGATCTTCTATCATAGCTTTGTGATCCAGGTTGCGCTCAAAGTGGACGACATGGCCAGGATGGGCCCGGGGTTATGACGGCTGCAGGCATCAATGTCGCAACGGCCAGGTGTTAGATGGATCATTGAGGAGGTACTGCAAAAGACACAGGTTCTGGATGGTCGGAGCTTTGAGTTACTTATCTCGAGGCTCTCCGCTAGGCTCAGAGCTTACACAAGGCAGGAAAAGAAGAGAGTTTGGGCAATTTTCACGCACCTGGTGTCACCTGTTGCAGCACTGAGGTAGGAGGTACTGGGAAACCCGGCTTGCGCTTGGCGGAGAGCGCTTCTGGACAGAAAAGAGGCGATGCTAAAGGAGTATCTCGCATGGCAGCAAGACAGGCTTGATCTTATGGCGGGGTTAGATTGGGAGCTCACAGGAGAGATTCCGTCGAAGTTGTCGGAGCTTGTCAAAACACGGAAGAGCCGAACCCAGATTGCAAAGGTTAAAGTATCGGGCACTTCGGTGTCGGACTCAAAGGGTGTCTTGGCTGCAGCGTCAGATTTCTTCCGAGACATCTTCGGTAGTGACAGAAGGCTGGACTTTCAAGAGTGGTCACCGGCGCTGGACAGAACACTGCAGGAGGGTGATGTAGTCGGGCTGGATGCTGACTGGACCGAGGAGGAGGTGAAAGCCACCTTCGCTTCACTTGCCAAGAACAAGTCACCAGGGAAAGATGGTCTGCCGAAGGAGTTCTTCGAGGCCAACCGGGACCTGCTGGGAGGAAGCTTCATGGCCCTGGTAAAGGATTTCACGGCCTCAGCGGAATTGTCGGGGAAGGTCAAGGAGGCGGTGACCATTCTCCTGCATAAAAAGGGGGAGAAGGATCAGCTAAGCAACTACAAGCCGATCACTTTACTAACTTTCACCTAAAAAAAAGTGGCAAAAGTGATTGCAGAAAGGATAAAGAAAGTACTTCACAGGGTGATTTTGCCGAAGCAATATGGCTTCGTCCCAGGCAGGAGGCTCGCTGATGGCGTTGTGCTAGTAGCCGATATCATTGATGCAGCTAAGAACGGCGGGGAGGATTGGTACTTGTTACTGGTGGATTTCCAGAAAGCCTTTGACTCAGTGTCGAGAGGCTTCAACTTCCATATGCTTGATCGTATGGGCTTCCCACCTCAGCTGGTAGCTTGGATCAAGGGGCTGCACTCAGGCACGAGAAAAAAAATGCTTGTCAATGGCTGGATGGGGGCCGGAATCGATGTGGTGTGGGGGGTGTGGCAAGGGTGCCCGCTGGCTCCATACCTGTTCCTCTGCACGGTAGAGCCACTGGTGCAGAAGGTGGAGAAGGAGCGGCTGGGTCTGGATATCGCCAGGCAGCGCCTGACATACATGGGCTATGCTGATGATACGACCCTGACCCTGCAAGGACAAGAGCAGATTTCAGAGGCTGAGATCATACTGGACAATTTCGAACGGCAGTCTGGACTGGCGACAAACAAAGCGAAATCGGTCATCTTACCACTGGGAGCAAACCTCGGGAGAGATGACGGTGATGTTTTCAAATGGGCAAAGCCAAAAGACGCCGAGCGGCTACTGGGGGTCTGGGTTACACCGGATGGGAGCGGCCTGTCTGTCAAACATTACATATGTTGCGTTTGTTAGGCTACAGTGGGTTAGCCTATATGGGGTACACAATTCTAGGGTTTGCTATTTGTACTGATTTCTCTGTTAGTTCAATCATTCCAGTCCGTTATTACTGACATGGTATCAGAGCAGGTCCTTCGCTAGGACCGTTCTTAGGGCCCACCGTTACCTACATACCTACCTACCTACCGTGCGCCTCGTGCGCCTCCTACCTACCGCGCGCGCGCAGCCCCCCAGCCGCCCGCGCGCGACTCGACTTTTTTTTTTGCGCGCGTATCCCGCTACCCGCTGCGAGAGTGAGGCGGCCTACACCTGGAGGAGCCCTCTCCTCCCAGCAGCTGCAGGAGAGGTACCTCGAGTACTGCCGCCTCCGGAGAGGTGCTGCTGGAGCTCGTCCCGGTACTTCCCCTCCTACCCAGGAGCTCCCCCCCATTCAGCAGATCCGCGAGTGGTACACACGGCGCTGCAGTCTTCGGAGTGGTGCTCCTGGTGCTACGGACCCTGGGGGTGGCGCTGCTGCTGGTGCTGAGGACCCGGACGTTGGAGCTACTGCTGGCGCTGCGGACCCGCCTGGTGGAGCTGCTGCTGGTGCTGAGGACTCGGACGTTGGAGCTGCTGCTGGAGCTGAGGACCCGGGCGGTGGCCCTGCTGCTGGTGCTGAGGACCCGGACGGTGGAGCTGCTGCTGGTGCTGAGGACTCGGACGGTGGAGCTGCTGCTGGAGCTGAGGACCCGAGCGGTGGCGCTGCTGCTGCTGCTGAGGACCCGGGCGTTGGAGCTACTACTGGTGCTGAGGACCCGGCTGGTGGAGCTGCTGCTGGTGCTGTGGACCCGGACGCTGGAGCTCCTACTGGTACTGAGGACCCGGCCGCTGGAGTCTCCTCTGCTTCTGGAGACGCTACGCGGCCGCGACCGTACTTCGTACCGCTCCTTCAGCAGGTTCTTGGGCAGGCTCCTCCTCCTTGTCCTCCTCCCTCCGTAGAGTGTCCTCCGCCTGTCCAGCCGCAGTCACAGTTACCGCCTACCTCGCCTCTCCCTGCTCCCTCTCCTTACACTGGTCCCACAGGAGGTCTTACAGAGCGTCGTGAGCCTGAGTCTCGTCCTGCGTCGCCTGTTCGTCCTGCTCGCACTGGTAGTCGTGTCCGTCGTGAGCGTCCTCCTCCTGTCCCAGGCACTCACTACATGACTCTGCGTCCCTCTACTGCTCCTCAGCGTGTCCCTCTACCGTCTCCTCCTGCGTCCTCTTTGCCTGACGTTCCGGACCCTGAGTCTGACCGGTATCGTGCTGAGCACCCTACTGTCACGCGTCTCCTCGCTACTGTTGTCACTGACCCTACCTTTGAGTCCTCTGCTGCGTCTGCTCTGGTCGCTGAGTTGGTTGACTTTGCTGCTGCCTGTCGTCTAGACTACGTTGCTAGCCTTGTTGCTGAGTCTGAGTCTGAGTCTGTCTGTCCTCCGTCCGTCGGGGGTGAGTGTGCTCTTGGCACGGACGTCCTTGAGGACAGACAGGAGGAGTTCCAGTGTCTTGCTGCTGCTTTGCCCCGTCTCGTGTCCTTGCTAGTTGCCCCTGAGGGAGACCCGGATGCACCAGACATCCCGACCCCGCGCACTTACGCTGAGGCGATGGCGGGTCCCTACTCCTCTCAGTGGCAGACAGCCATGGACGCCGAGATGGCTTCCTGGAAGCCCACACGCACCTACGTCGACGAGGTTCCCCCTCCTGGGGCGAACATCGTCAGTGGCATGTGGATTTTCAGGGTGAAGCGGCCGCCGGGTTCTCCGCCTGTCTTCAAGGCGCGTTACGTGGCTCGAGGCTTCAGTCAGCGAGAGGGAGTTGACTTCTTCCAGACCTTCTCCCCCACCCCGAAGATGACCACTCTTCGGGTGCTGCTGCACATAGCCGCTCAGCGCGACTACGAGCTTCACTCACTTGACTTCAGCACTGCTTTCTTGCAGGGCAGCCTGCACGAGGAGATCTGGCTGCGCCGCCCACCTGGCTTCACTGGGTCGTTTCCTCCTGGTACCCAGTGGAGGCTTCAGCGGCCGGTCTACGGTCTCCGCCAGGCTCCGCGTGAGTGGCACGACACACTGAGGACTACACTTGCGGCTCTTGGGTTCGCGCCTTCTACAGCTGACCCGTCGTTGTTCCTGCGCACCAACACTTCGCTGCCGCCGTTCTACATCCTCGTGTATGTCGACGACTTGGTCTTTGCCACTGCTGACACTGCAGGACTCGCCCACGTGAAGTCGGAGCTGCAGAGGAGACACACGTGCACAGACCTGGGTGAGCTGACAAGCTATCTTGGCTTGCGGATCACCCGGGACAGAGCACGGCGCACCATCACCCTGACTCAGTCACACATGGTGCAGCAGGTTCTCCAGCGCTTCCGCTTCACGTACTCCTCGCCTCAGTCCACTCCTCTGCCTACCGGTCACTCGCTCTCAGCTCTGCCTTCGGATGAGTCCGTAGAGCCGAGTGGCCCGTATCCAGAGCTTGTGGGCTGCCTCATGTACCTGATGACCTGCACTCGACCTGACCTTGCATACCCTCTTAGCATCCTAGCACGCTATGTGGCTCCTGGCCGTCACAGGAAGGAGCACATGGATGCCGCTAAGAGGGTGTTGCGCTACTTGTGCAGTACGTCGGGCATGGGGCTTGTGCTTGGAGGGCGAGACCGAGTTGTTCTCACAGGGCACTCAGACGCTTCTTGGGCAGACGACCAGGCCACTCAGCGGTCGTCTCAGGGTTACACCTTCAGCCTTGGCTCTGGTTCAGTTTCTTGGCGCTCTACACGCTCTTCTTCTGTTCTCGGCTCCAGTTGCGAGGCTGAGATCTACGCTACAGCCATGGCTGCCCAGGAGCTACGCTGGCTGACCTACCTGCTGACCGACCTCGGAGAGCGGCCTCGTTCTCCTCCAGTACTGTACGTCGACAACAAGGCTGCCATTGCCTTGTGTGAGGAGCACAGACTGGAGCACAGAACGAAGCACATCGCCCTGCGGTACTTCCTTGCTCGTGAGCTGCAGCAGCGCGGTCAGCTTTGTATTCGCTACGTGGCCACTGAGGCCAACACTGCTGATGTGTTCACCAAGGCGCTTCAGCCTCGTGACCATCAGCGCTTCTGCACTCTACTAGGCCTTGTGCCTACTGGACCTCACTTACTTACCTCTTGACTTTGCTTGTACTGTGATCACTATATATATATCTGTACCTGCATGTTTACTCTTGCTAGGTTGTGATCACTGTATCTCTTGCTCTGTTATAAACCTGCATGTGAACTGGTCTTGTGACCACTAGCTTGTGCTCGGAATTTGTGTGGAATCCTCGAGATCCACCCTGAGCTTGTCTTGCCTTGCTTTGCCTTGACTGGTGGTGTGACCCCTAGTTCTCCCCCACTTTGCCTATGGGGGTGTGTCAAACATTACATATGTTGCGTTTGTTAGGCTACAGTGGGTTAGCCTATATGGGGTACACAATTCTAGGGTTTGCTATTTGTACTGATTTCTCTGTTAGTTCAATCATTCCAGTCCGTTATTACTGACACTGTCGACGTGGGAGAAGGCACTGGAGGAGACTAAAAAGAGGTTGGGGGTGTGGAGGTTGAAGTTCCTCACCGAGAAGGCGAGGGGCTCGGTGGCCAACAGCTACATTCAGCCGGTGACGATCTTCCAAGCGCAAGTGTATCCGCCACCTACATCTGTCTGGAGGGAAATGGAGAAGCTGATACACAACTTTGTCTCTGGGAACAAGGCGACAACGGAAAGGGTGTTTTTAATTATGGAGCACGGAGCTACTTAACACCCCGAGGCAGGATGGTGGGTTGGGAGTACATGATCCGAATGTCACGCTGGCATGCCTGGCCGCCAGGCGTGTGGGCTTGATGATGACGGAGGTGAACCAGCTCAAGCGGGAGCTGATGATGCGGGCAGCAGACCTCCTCTTGGACCTAGATACATTCACGGCGCATGACCGGCTTCTGAGAAATTGGGAGGGGAGGAGCCAACGGTAGAGGCAGACATGCGAGCTTTTCATGAAAGCGCCCCTCAGCGTCAGAATGGTGGAAGTGACCTGGGCAAAAATAGTGAAGAAGCGATTTGTTTTCAACCGTGCAATCATGGTTGGAACAACAGCGCCGGTGGGTGGTCAGAAGGCAGCAGGGGAACTGTGGGACTGGACACTAGGCGACCTGGTGGTACGGCAGCATGACGGTGCTCGCAGGCTGAAAACTATGGAGGAGCTCACGGCGGAGCTAGGAGGGAAGGGACCTGCTAGGCTAGCGTTGA